GGTTTTTATTTTACTTTGTCTCTTCTTCATAACTTAACAATGTTTCATCAGCCTGTAAAATATAGTTAAAAGGAAATCAGCTAAAAACAGTCCCCTTGATTACACACATAGATAAAAGTGTCAAAGAGTGACTAATTCTAAGAAGGATACAGAGGAGAACAGATGAATACCATGAAAAATGTAGGTGTTGCTTAAGTAACAACAGCTGTGGTACTTTCTCTGAATTTCAACATGGTTGGAATATGTTAAAATCAAGTAAAATAGAATAAAATAAGACTAGTGTGTGGGCCATTTTTAGATATTTTACCCATCTACCAAATCTTTTAACTTAAAAACACTTGGTACAAAGATTCCTGAGAGGTACTAGTCATGGATAAGCTGTGATCCTGGTAGTGCATGACAGTGGGTTTACTCGGTGTTGTAGAGAATGCAGAATGGGGTTGTTTCTGTTTGGTTTAGCTTGGACATTATTATGATGACTAATTGACCCAAATCTGGTCCTTCCAGATTCAGACTGAGAGGGCAAGACGAGACGAAAATAGAAAGCACAATTTATTTATTCCCTTCTTTTATTCATTGTGCACAGATATACTGAAGAGTTGTTTTAGTTTGCACACAGCGAATATCAACAGAGAGCAAAGCGGGAGAAAAAGATGACAGGTAGACAAAAAGAAGGAAGGAAGGAGGGCAGCTAAGAAAAAGGCTGTTTGTAAGAGAGGTAAAATTTGGCACTGAAACAATGCAGTTTTTGCTAATTCCTCAATTCATCTGTTTGTAATTTCCCTTTCATTCTGTTAAGCCTCTGTGACGCCAGTTCACTGAAGTCTGTGCTATTTATGTGGTTTGTTTCTGTGCTGTGGTTTTCGTGCATGTGCTTAACAATTTAGAATATTGAAACTTCACTGATCTATCCCTTGTCATTTCGAGATATTGCAGCGAGGTCTGGAGCCACATGTGTCTCATGTGTTTCATGAACAATGTTGTGGAAGTAAATTTGAACTACATCCAACTGTAGAGCAGCAGTTTGGCTTTAACTGAACAGAAACACAAAATCTGAAACTTTCAAACAGCACAAGTACTTTTGTGTTAAAGATGATTTATCTCTGTGGATCAAATGACTGTGTGGTGTAAAAGATCCACTGTGCAGTTCCTCTCCGCTCGAACTTTCTTTTAGCTCATTGTTTTCACTACCATCAAGATCATCATAATACAGATTTTCAACTTTTTGTTCAGCTGCAAAAGGCGGATCTACTAAATATTGATTTCATTTCTTTTTCTGTGGTGCCCAAATGTATGCACCTGCCTGATTTTGTTTGAACAATTATTGCACACTTTCTGTAAATCCATTCAACTTCATTTCACTTCTAAAATATCACTGTGTGTGTCTCCTATATGATATATTTAACTGACATTTTTTATTGTAACAACCAACGATTCATTTATGATTCATTAATGTTGAATTGTCTCGCAACTGCTCTATTCCCATGTTGTTGCAGTATATTAATGACTAACATCGTACTGTGGATGGATTGTCTCAGTTGTTCTCCTGACTGAAGTTTACAGTCCGTTTACAGCATGCTGCATTGTGATTGCATTTGTCCCTAACCATCGGGAACTCTCCCATTAACTTTTATCGAATGGAAAATAGTTAGTATTCATCCTCCAGCTTCACTGTTTTTATATTATGCTAACATAGCCATGTCGCTAGCAATCACATCCTTATATACCAGCTAGCCTAACTACAGTAACCCTACAAAAGTCACTGCTTGTTTAGTTTTTTTTTTTGTCTTTGTTTATGTTGGAAGTGATAGCAGAGCTGTACGTTTTAATTTTTTCAGGAATCTGTCAGTCAGAACATGCTATATCATGTTTAGGTGGAAACTAGCGAGCTAACTTCCTGCTAACTTCTAACTCCGTTAAATTTAATAAATCCTGTTTTGATGGATGCCTGGGTGTTTAAACAATGATCAGTGTTTAAACAATTATTGCACGCTTTCTGTAAATCCAATAAACTTCATTTCACTTCTCAAATATCGCTGTGTGTGTCTGTTATATGATATATTTAACTGACATTTTTTTATTGTAACAACCAATGATTTATACAGAAAAATAATGACTATTAACAAGGTTGCCCAAACCTTTGCATCCCACTGTATATGTTTATACAAGGCTAACATTCACACCAAATTGATTCTGCTATATTTAACGTGTTCTTTTCGGCCTAGCCTCTAAAGACATACATGTTTTAAACTGAAAAAAGGTTTACCAGAGATCTTTCACAGTAACTGGCAGAGTGTTTGATAAAATCACAGAAAGCCAAATAGAGAACTTTCTCTTTCCCCAGTTTTTTCTTTTTTCGCTGCTTCTAAAATTTCCATTAGTGCCAGCCAACACACTGCAATTACCAGCTAAGACAAACTTGTGTTTTTTTAAGTGTATGTTTGTGTTCTTTTAATCCAGGGTGTCCATGAGTCTAAAGGTGTAACAGATGATTACCTGCGCCTTGAAGCTCTCATCCAGAAGGTGGTCTCTCCTTACCTCGGCACTCATGGCTTATATTCCAGGGATGAATCCTCCAGTATGCACTGTTCTTCCTGTCTGTTGGGTAAGTGTGTGCGTGTGTGTACTTGAAAAACTCACAGATTCCATTTTAATTCAGGCTTTCTGTGGTTTTTGCGGAATGTTTGCAATTCTAAACTAATAAGGTTTCACTTTCTGCTTCTCTCTTTTGTCCTCGTTAGAAAAACGCCTACAGTACTCCTGGTCCTCCAAACTAAGCAGTTCTCCTGTTGTCAAAAACCCAGTGGTCCGCTCTAAGAGCTACAATGTTCCCATGCTAACCCCTGTAGTAGAGTATGACATAGATTCCTCCTCGGGGAGCGGCACAAGCATCAGGCGGCATTCAGTATGTGAGATGACGTCTTGCATGGAGGAAAGCATCCCTAAGACAAAGTCCACCACAAGTGCCCCTGACAACAACAGTAACACCAGCACTTCGAGCCTCGCCAATCACTCCTCAGCTTCCACCACCTCTGCTTCACTTTCAGGTAGGACTATATGTCTAGAGTTAATAAATCCCTTTGAAAAGACAGTGGAGCTCAAAAGTAAATATACGTGTTTTTCCTCAGCTGTGCAGCGCTAGTCATCTGTCTAAATTATAGATGAGTACATATGAAAAAAACTCCACAACCCAACCAAAGTTTGGGATTTTTTTTCATGATTTCCTGAAAGATTTCTTGACTTGGATAAGTGGAAGATGCATGGATGGATCAATGGTTCCTTGACAGAGACTGGCAGTTTTTTTATATGTATTTTTGACAGATTAAAAATAAGTGTTAGTGTTTTCCAATGCATTAATACAAGTGATATTTACCTTTAAATTAGGTTAAAAAAAATTAATTAATTAATACATACATTTTGATTCTTATTAAACTAGGAGTAACACTTCTTGTGCACAAAAAATATTACAAAACTGAATGGATTTTGGTTTTGAAGTGGAGCAACATTTTAATTTATCGGGTTAACCAGATTAGCCAGAATCCAAGATGTAAGTGAGAGATAAGTTTTCAAGAATGCAGGCAGAGTGGAGATTTCAGGCCATAATGCACAGACCCGCATTTGGAGAAAACCTGTGAAATGCTGTGCCAGGACCTTAAGAGAGCTGTGCATAAGTGAATCTCAACAAACCTCAAAGAACTGAAGTAGCACATGTGCATTTTGGTTTAGTTCTGTTAAATAAATGTGTTGCTGTTCAGTTGAGGTTGTGTCTGAGGTCCTGGTAGGACCCTGATATGTTTTTTTTTTTTTATTATGTCCTGGTATTTAAAACCTTAGAATTGACAGGGGATGTACTTTATTTTTACAATGACTGTCGATTACTGGAAGCGAGTAGTACTGAATACATTTAGATTATGAATTTTGAAATGAGCATGGTGATGCTGAAAAACAGAAGTGACAAAAAATAGAGAATTAGGAATAGCTTATATTACCAAGAAAAAAGGAAACAGAGACAAATCTTCCTTATTTCTTCTTTGTTGTCGTCTTCTTTTAACTAGTCTCGCTTTAGTAGTCATCAAAGGGTAATCTGCCTCCATCTCACCCTGTCCCTGGCATCTTCCTCTGTCACACCAACCTTCTGCATGTTCTCCTTTTGCTACATCCATGAATTTTCTATGTGGTCTTTCTGTTTTCCTCCTGCCTACCAGTTCCTCTTCAACGTCCTTTGTTCAATATATCCTCTGTTCCTCCTCTGTACATGTCCAAAGCATCTTCTGCCTCTCTCTGCCATTCTCTTCTTCACCTCTCTTATACACTGTCTATGACTTTGGATGGGTGACTCTAGCTATTTAAACTCATCTAACTTCACTATCGCTACTTTTTTCAGCTTTATTGTTACACCCGTCTCCCTCTCATTCTCACACATGTATTCTGTTTTGCTTCCACTGACTTTGATTCCTCTTCTCTCCAGAGCATGCCTCCACCTCTCCAGGCTCTCTTCCACCTGCTCCCTACTCTCACTACAAATCACAGTGTCCTCTGTAAACGTCATGATGTATGTAGACTCCTGCCTAACCTCATCTGTCAGCCTGTCTACCACCATGGCAAACAAAAAGTGGCTGAGAGGCAATCACTGATGTAATCCCAGCTCCACCTTGAACCCATCAGTCATTCCTACTGCACACCTCACCACTGTCTTGCTCTCCTCATGCATGTCTAGCACCAGCCTCAGATTCTTCCATTTGTTAGAATTTTACAGAAATATAAAGAAATGGAGTGAGATTTGATTGGCGTATTCTTGAAAAAGTAGGATGCATGCTGTGTAGGTTTTTCACATTAAGGTCAAACTATATTAGGTTACGAAATCTCTCAGAGCTGTGAGACAGACTGTGGTTTGAGATGTTTAGTGAGGTTAAAAGTAACAGGCAACATGCTCTGCAGAGGCAGCAGTGTAAATCCTGAAATCACTGGAGTTATCTGGTGATGTTTCTACCATCCCATGATGCATCTGCTATACAGTGAAATCTAGACAGAAATGCTTAATATTGGCACAGCATTATTATTGGAATCTTTGATCCAAATATCTTTTTGCTAACAAGCTACAGTACAGAAACGTAGAGGAAAATCAGTTTCACCTCCAAAAGTTTTGCTTTTCTTTGTGCAGACGGTGCAACCTCCAGCCAGAAACTCCGAACCATAGGTGCTGGAAGCCAAGCAGCTCCCCACCCTACCCAGCATCAGCAACACTCCCCTAGCATCTTCCCCGAGCCTTCCCCAGGCGAGGACACACATTGCACTGGCTCGCTGGAGTTCGACTCTTCCTCCTCCTCCAAAGTTCTGGCTCAGGACACCAGCTCTGGTCCCAGTCCTTCTTCCAGTCCGGAGATAATGATGGACCACATGATGGAAGATTCTTTGGACTCGGAGATAGAGCATGATGGGATCTTCCTGAACTTCTCAAAACAATCTTCAGGAGGGTCAGCGGACACCAGAGACAGCAGCAAGGAGAGTGTGGCATGACACACAGACCAATGTGTGTGCGTGTGTGGATGTGTGCAAACTTCACCTGTGTGATGCAGGTCTGAGCCACGACTGACATTCCTCAAACTGCTGTTTTCTAGAGACTCTAGATCTTCAGGGAATCTTTAAAACTGGATTATTTTTCTATGTCTTGTGCTTTTTCACTAAAATCAAGTCTAATTTTATGATGCCTTTTGTAATATTTCATTGTAGTTAGCTAGAAACATCAACACTGGCCCCTGTGGGGAGATTTATATTATTCATTCACATTCAAACCAAACAATCACAAAATAAAACTATAAATGAAAACATGGAAAACACAGCAAAAGGGCAGAAGCATGAAAAAACGTGGAGATACTTTTGGATACTTTTTGAAAAGCTTGGACAGTCAAACTCAAACTTCTAACATTTCATATGTTTTGGAAAACTACCATGTTTGACAAGCAATGCAAATCATATTTTATTAAAATACTCATTGGATTTAAACATTATTTTTTTTGTCTCTGTTTCAAATTAAGACTTAAACTGGTGGGAACTCTTTCCAAAAGAGGCTTAAGCTACAGTCAAGTAAACCACTTATTTCTAGTACATCTAAATACTGTGCTTTTGGGCTGTTCATTTTCATATCTAAGGAAAGCAGTTTTGCAGTGGCCCTGCAAGGCAACTTTAGAAAAGCGCTGCGAAAGAGCATAAAACACAGTGGAAATAGATTAAAAACACATACAAACACGCAGAACGGAAGTTGAGGAAAACGAAATGGAAGTAGAAACAACCTTACAAAAACACAACGGAAGTGTTTTGGGGGGAGACATGAGTGACGGAACAGCAGCAGAATTCAAAAACGTGTGAAGGATTGTTCTGAGACACATTTTAAGGATGTGGAGGATTCGTTGGTGTTATGAGCGAGGGAAAAATAGCAGGTAATGTGTCTTTTAATCATATGATTCATATAATATTGTAGAGTCATGTTTGCTATTAGCCGTTTACTGTTAGCTTGCTACTCTTATTCTCTCCCTAAAAACGCTTCCGTTGTGTTTCGTGAATTTTCGTTCTTGCTGGCGTTTTCTTATTTTGCTTTTGGTAAAATGCAGTTTTAAATAAGGATTTGTGTCGAAAATGCACACTGCCATACTTGTCTGCAGCTGAAGTTGCAGTTTTATTCTAAAACGTCGTTCAGTTTTGAAGCGTTCAAACAACAGTTGACAAACATTCTGCTTTTTTTAATCCTTTACATCTTATTGTCAAATCAAAACAGTCAAATGTGTGTGAGTCAAATGTTAGGACATGTTAAGCTTTATCAGCAAAGCATAGAAAACTTATTCCACTCCCAGATTTGGCATCTTTTACCAAACCTTATCTTGTCCCCTTTTCTTATCTCAGCTCTTCTCCCATTGTGTTAGTGTCCACTTAAAATAGCAGAAAGCCACGTGTAAACCATTTGTCATGCAGCTACAGTCTGTCTAAACAACCTTTAATGTGAGTTTCCCTTGTTTACACATCTGGGCCTAAATCAGAATCAGCAGCATGCGCTTCCTGTTTCTGCATGAATGCAGCTGTTAAAGTTGTGCTGACAAACTGTATTTTGCGTTTTGCAACGTATATTAGTAGTTTGCGTTTACTGAATATAATCACGAGCACTCAATGTCTGAATTCATTTTTTTAAGTACACCGTCCACGTTACTTTCTTTTCTTTTTTTTATTTGAACAATTGAACAACAAATACATAGTAATGTAGTTATAGAAAGGGTATGAAAAATTTCACAGCTTGCAGTATCTTTTACAAGTCATATATACAAATACAAGTACGTATTGTTTGTTTTCTCCTAAAGTATACTTTAGGAGAAAACAAAAACAAAATAACCGGTTAAAAAAGAAAGAGGTGCTCAAGGTATAAATAAACAACATATAAGTCAAGTGAAACTATACATTCGACACAGCTCTTGTGTTTTACATGCTTTGGAGTTAGTGCTGTTCTTTAGATTCTCTAGATAATTGGAAAACAGGGCTTTAAAAGCAAATATGTTTGGGTGCTGTTGAGAAAATTTTGTACAATGTATGTGAAATTTGGCAAAAATAATCAGAAGATTGATAATATATTTTTTTCCTGGATTTATTTTATGGGTATGTGAGAGGCCAAATAGAATATGTTGAAACTTCAGTTTACATTAGGGATCAATTTGTCTGAATTCATATTTGAAGTTGTGCTCCTCAAACTTTTCACGTCACTATATGGTGAGGGGGAAAAGGCAGATGCTGCCACCTTGTGTCGTTCGTATTAATGTGCATCTGCCAATAGGAGAAGGAAAGGTGCAAACCATTGACTGTAGAAAACAGTCTACAGTCAATTTCTACAGTCAATGGTGCAAACCTAGAGCAGTAGAGGGGTGCAACTCCAGGCCTCGGGTGCCGGTGTCCTGCAGGTTTTAGATGTGTCCATGATCCATCACAGCTGATTTAAAG